TTAACCGAACAGCGGCAACATACACAGCCATTCATGGACAGTCACAGATCAAGTAGATAAACGTCATTCAAGCCTTATGGGTGCATGCCGGAATGGCATCCGGTATAAAAATGGATTTCCATGGAAAGACCCGACCGGTTTCTTGGCTCTTGCCTCTCGGTAGACATACTTATCCGGTGATGCTTTGTCAGGCCATTCATATACTTGTAATCGAGAGGTGTATTTTCGACGCAGATACGACATTCGCCCACCTCGACTGTCTGGATCACGATTCCCAAAGAAGAAACAGTATTTATGTCTGACAGCCATGTAGGGATTTTTTAGTCATAACTAAGACGTGTTTTTTAGTCAGTGCTGACCTCGCCGCTCGTGGGCAGCCAATGTCAGCGACTTCAGTGACGCCGACTCATCTTCATGCAGGGGTTAGTCGCACAAAAAATAAAACAAGGAATCATCGTCATCATCATCATCATCGTACAGCGAGATACAGTGGAGCGAACTTCATTGATCGCTGTCAAACAAGGATATCAGAAGCCACCATGGAGCGATAACAACAGCTTGAACGCTGGGTGGAACATTTCCGCGAGCAGTTCAGTTGGACTGGCGCCAGCCAAATTACCCCATCTGTAACTGAAGCTCCGTGGGCAGTGTTGTGATCCTCCGACAGAAGCAGAAAATGACCATTCGTTCAAGCTCTGAAGAGAGAAGAAGCAGTATGACTGTGTGGGCTTCGTCTAACCATTTTCAGGATGGTAGATGATAACCTTGTAAGCTCTACCACTAATTTACTGCAAATCTAGCCACAGAAGCGCGCTCTGTCATCTTGAAAGGAATCACTGATCGTTCCCGTTTTCAAGAAGGGAGCTTGCAACGACTGTGCAAACCAACCAGGGATACGTTTGATGCCAGTCGTCACTAGTGTTAGCCTCTGTCATACAGTAACGTCTGATTCCCTTAGGAGACCAACATCCGTGAACAGTAATCCGGATTTCGCTTTGGTTGTCGGTGTATGCATCGAATTTTAACGTTGTGTCACACTCACCATCGACCAATGATCGCCGTGTTGCTTGACATAAAAAGAGCCTTCGACTCAGTTGAAAGCGGATCTAACGGATTCACTTCTTCGAAAAGGAATGCATCAGAATTATGTTAACTTACTGAGGTTGCGGTAGTCAAATACTTCTGGTCGTTCAGTTTAGGTTTTACAACCATAAATCATGCAAGTTTCAGGTCGAGCGAGGTTCTATAACGAACTCGGTAGCTCGTTCGTCAAGAGTGCCAGATTTCACCATTCCTGGTCAATTTTGTCGGAGATGAAATACTGTAGAACGCAAATGTTGGTATTCAATGAGCAATCGGCTAAAAGCTGTGCGACTTAGAGTACGTAGAGGACATAGTCCGTCTTTTCGAATGTACAGAGGATGTGTAAAGCGCACTTGAAAAATTATGCTGCTTCCTTCAGTATGCGCTTTGTAGCTCCAAAGTGCAGTGATGATGCGAGCCTTGGTGTTGCCGAGTCCTGTTCTGAAATTAAATTATCAGGAATGGGCTTAAGCTGATTAATTCTCGTACTTGGATAGTTGCGTGACCAATAACTTTAGCGCGGCAAAGGAGATAATCACTTGCATTTCCAAGGGTCGATCGATTAAAAGTTTTCGATTATCGATGCTTACGTAGTTTTGTCACATGGGATGGAGTGAACAGGTCAGTAATCTGGAGGTAACTCGTGTATTTGTGCGTACATCCCGGATAAATTTACTAGTGCATCGAATTCAGATTAGGTTTTACTGGTTAGGACACGTATTGCGCAAGCCGAGTTGTCGTCTGTCGCCTTATTCGATGTAACCGCTGCAAGTCGGAGAAAACTACATGGAGGTTGATAAATGACGCACTGATGAGGCATGGAAAAAAGCAGAGCTATAAGGTCAGGTAGGGGTTCAAAAGACTCTAACTGGCTGTTTGGAGATTATACAGGATACGAAGTATTAAAACTAAATATCGAGTGTCAAACTAAGGAGTGGACTCCATCACGGCCAATGAACTGTATTGGTAGACAGTAAATCTGTATCTGTATCCGGTTCGAGACTACGATTATTCTACTGGGGCCTTATGAAGTCTGATTTAGGTTGCTGGTCTTTCCTTGTGACTACACAGTTGCCCTCCCCTCCTCGTTTTACGTCTCTCACTGTTCATCACAGTGTGCTGCTGAATAACTCGTACTGTTCAAGCTGTGTTCACCATACATCAAACGTGTTTGCGCAGTGGTCCAGTTGTTGTCACCGGTGTGCTTTGAGCCCTATGGTCCGAGGTTAGAGTCCCGCCACCCAACTTTGGTGGTAGGCGGCTTTGCTTTCGTTGGGTTCATCTAGTGCGGTCTTATGTGGTTCGCCCCACTCCAAGTTCCGGGCCGTAAGTTACCGGTATTTATCATTGGTCAGCAAGTCCCCCGTGACCATGGGGATTACCCCATCTGCTGTTCATCACACTAAAGGGTATAACAAAAAAGATATAGAGGTATATATATATAAGAGAAAATACTTACGGTTTGATACGCTGTGTCCAGCTGTTCGCACAAGCGATTCAAATCCCGTGCGCCTGAACGCAATTCGTTATACATGACTTCGTATCGCGAATTGAACGCTTCTTCGTCCTCCTGCATGGTAAACTTTTCTAACGCATCACGAACGGCTATATAGAAAACGGATAATGCGGTGGAATATAAAAAGCACAACTACCTGATTGTGCGAACGGTGGAATGCGGTGCACTGCAACTAACTGATGGAAACATTCATCCAATGCACATTTGAGTGGAACAATCAGATCCTGCTCGAATTTTACTTGAACCGCATTGTTGAAAGACTGAGAAAACCGAAACGTTTGGATTTTACTCTGAGGCATTCCGTGTTAGATGACCGAACAGGCTGAAAATGAAAAGATGAAGAGTAAATTTTATAGCCGGAATGATTGATTTGACTACTGTGTTAACACGTTCAATACTAAATTATGAAAACCTCGAGCCCACCCTGTACGGTCCATTCAAGCGATATGATGCCTGACAAACCCAATGAAAAGGGGAATCTACGGAAATTTCACAAAACGAAACCATCTACTCATTTTTGAACACCCATATATCAGAGGTACACGAGAACCAAACAACTTCAAAGCAGGTGGAATCAACTTCAATAAGTTGTCGAAAAAATACAACAAAACTATTTGAAACTGGAAAACCTGTTCGAAATTTTGAGGATTCTGTTGCGAGAGGGAAATGAAGTTCAAACGTAGTTGAACGCAGAGAAAATAGGAAAAACCCAAACCTATTTTGGTCTGTTCACTAAGCTGGACGGTTTGCTTGTGAACGTCTTCATCACCGGTCTAGGTGACATCTTCTATGCAACGAGATGCCAAATCTCCGTAGCAAAGGATAGCCTACCTGGCGCTATGGGGAAACCTTAAACAAACTGAAGACACCTCTCTAGTAGAATGTGGGGGACATACCGAGTGGTGAGATTCTTTCGGTACACGCTCCGTCTCCGGACGTTGTAATGGTGCCGGTTCAACCAAAATCTCCTTTTCAATTAGCCACATTTAATGTCTGTACAATCTATCAGATGGACCAACAAGCTACCTTATTCAAAACCCTTGAAACTCTCAATTTAAAAGTAACCCAGTGGGGGCCTTATGTGGTTTGACACTCCCAGTCCCGGGGGTTAGGTTACCGTTTTCCATCACTGCACAACAGGTCTAGGCGACTAAACGGTTCCCTCCGTCTGCTGTTCATAACATCAAAGTGGTTGAAGTATAAAAAAA